TTGTTTTTAAGTGCCATTGAGCTAATTCCAACTCATAGCAACCCTGTATAGGGTTTCTGAGGAGTGGCTGGTGAGTTCGAACCACCAATCTTGTGGTTCAAACCGACCTTGCGGTCCAATGCTTTATCCAACAGCACCACTCTAGGACTCCTTTTATAGCAATATGGCAGAGTAATTGCATGTTTGTCAAATCTACTAACACATTTGGGTTTGTATTTTATATGTCTCTCATTCTCCGCTTTCTTTTCCAAGCATTTCATCTGTATGGCATTTCACAAATGAGTTAGTCTGCAATGAAAAAGAATTAAAACTGGCATTTCACCAGAGCTTGAGAACACTGCTCTAGTACTCTGGTGTAAATATAGCTTGCTCTCTGGCACCAGTTCTGTGACCAAGAAGACTTGGTCAGGTAAATAATAATCCTCAGATAACCAACCTATAACCCTGCTTCAGCCATTGGTTTTATTTCAACTTCATTCACCATTCTGAGCAGCTGCTAAAGGGTTTATACTAGATACAAGGGAGAGAGCTTCAAAAAAGTTTGTAAAGGACTGATTGAAGGAAATGGGGGGCGGGGGGAAAGAGAGGGGAAGGCTAATAGGATGTACCCTTTTGTTGATTGGTGATGCGTGGAGGGGATTGTAACCATGGCAATGAAACAATATACAATAGTATGAATGTAAAACTGATGCTCTCCTATGTAAACTGTCACATAATTCACAATAAAACTTAAGCTCTCAACCTACTTATGTGGCATTGCTACTTAGATACTTTTAAAAAAAAAGCTCATTGAAAATTGAATCTAAATAAAAAGTAAGATAGTGTTAAACTAGTGTGTTCAATTTTAACAGGCATTTATGTAAAATATGTAAAGCAGATATTTGTGGTCTCTTTACAAGTTTAGTTTTTAATCTAAAGAGAGAGTGATTATCATAGGTAATTATAATTGCAAAAAATAAAAAATGTTTTCTTAGGCACAAAGGCACAGTCCAATCGCCAGGATCAAGAGGCAAGAATGAAGATCACAAAACTACAAAGAAAGGCAGTCTGGGGGTGAGAAGTGTGGGAGACAGTGATAGAGAAACCAGTGTCTCATAAACTTCTTGATGGTCACATCTGGTAGGTGGACACCACTGTCCAAGCAATTTCAGTCACCTTGACCTTAAATCATTTCTACATATCAATCCTGTCACAACCATTTTATTTCTGCTCTGAGACATTCTGAAGAAAAAACAAACAACAAAGCAATGGCAAGACTAAGAACATAAATTTTAAAAAACATTCCTCTTTATGTAAATAACAGTGAACTATAAAATACATGTTACCACTTGTCTGTCAGTTTGTCATACTGTGGTGTCGACACTTACAGCCTTCAGTATGGATTACAATTCAATGTAAAGGAAAAAAATCCTCACAACTGGAACAATAAATGACATCATAATAAACGGAGAAAAGACTGAAGTTGTCAAGGATTTCATTTTACTTGGATCCACAATCAAACGCATGTAAGCAACAGTCAAGAAATCAAACAATATGGCATAGTAATTGTGTATCTGTTACATCTACTAACACATACTACATCGGGCAAATCTGCTGCAAAAAATTTTTTAAAAAGATGTCACTTTGAGGACTAAGGTATGCCTGGCCCAGGTATTTTCAACTGCCTCATATGCATGTGAATGCTGAACAATGAATGAATAAGGAAGACCATTGAAGAATTGATGTATTTGAATTATGGTACTGGCAAAGAATATTATATGCACCATATAATATATGGCTGCCATAAGAATAAACAAAACTGTTTTGGAAGAGGTGCAGCTAGAATGCTCCTTAGAATCCAGGATGGCAAGACTTGGTCTTTTGTACCTTGGACATGTTATCAGGACCAGTCCCTGGAGAAGGATGCTTGGTAGAAGGTCAGTTCAAAAGAGAAGAGCCTAATGAAATGGATTCACACAATGGTTGCAACAATGGGCTCTTGTGGATGGGACAAGACTGAGAAATGTTTTGTCCTGTTGTATATAGGCTCGCTATAAGTCAGAACTTGGTCTTCTTATGTATAAAAATGTCGGGTCTAAGAAAAGATGTTGTTAGTTGTTGTCAGTTATAGTGAACTTGGTTCTGATTCATGGAACCCCAAGTATAACAGAAAACACTGCCCAGTCCTAAACTATCTTCCTGACTGTTCATCTCAAGTCCACTGTTTTACTGAGTGCCTTCCAATGCAGGGTGCTAACCTTCCAGCACTATAACGAACAACATTTTGTTGTAATCAGCAGGAGTAATTCAGAAGTAAATCACCAGACCATTTTCTGTAATCTATCTTAATCTGAAAACTCTACTGACACCTGTTCACTGTGGGAGGCACAGTTGGTATTTGAAATACCAGAGGCAAAGCTTCCAGACTCACAGCAACATGCTGCCTGATAGATGGACGTTGGTGGAAGACAAGTTAGACTTCCTTAAAAAAGTAAGTGTAGGAGTTAGGAAAACTATTTTCTAAGGATAGAAATTCCGCTTCCAATACCCCTTGAATTAAGTTTATTTTTACAAATTTATCACCTCACTAGCCACAATACATTGGTGTAATATAATTTCCCTGGGAAAAATGTTTAGGTCCTGTTGTTGTTAAGTGCCGTCAAGTCAGTTCTGATTCATAGTGACACTATATAGGGTTTCCAAGGCTGGTGGGTTTGAGCCACTGACCTTGCGGAAAGTAAACCAGTGCTTATCCTACAAGCGCCACACCTACAACTGAAAAGACCACTTGACCATCAATTTAGACAACTATTAATGACATGTTTGTTATCTTTATTAACGGCCTGGCCAATAACTACTCATATAGACATTTCCTTCCAGTGAAGAAGAAAACCGCATAGATGTTGTTGTTGTTAGTACCGTGGAGTCAGTTCCGACTCAGTGACCATGCACAGGGTTTCTGAGGCTATAAATCTTTAAGGGAGCAGAAAGCCTCATCTTTCTTTCTCCTGTGGACCAGCTGGTAGTTTTGAACTGCCGATTTGTAACCACTACAAATCGTTACCACTATGCTACCAGAGTTCCTTAGCATAGACATTAATACTCCAAAAATCATTGAAGAGAGCTCCTGAAAATACTGAAAAAAATACTGAAACTGGAAAAGCTCCAGGTCTTTATAGAAATAAAGTTTTAACAGTTGTTTATTTGAATTAATTATAATTTTGGATACATGTTACCTTCATACTAGGGAGCTTCAAATAATGGAAAATTCCATTATCTTTACTTCCATTTTTCCAAGCACTTTATTTAAAGTCTCCCTTGCACATTTTTAAATATACAAACCACCCCAAAACTCACAAGTGTCAGCTTTGATAAAATCAATTAAATTCTAATGTAGCTGATAAGAAAATATGGTTTATGTCAGAGGCAAGATAGCAGGGTCTCAGGGCAGATAAGCAAAATAAGAGAAGAGGGCTTCATAGGCCACCGAGGATCCTAACCTGACCCTGACCATTAATGGCCATTCAGCTCTGGCCAACTGCTACCTTGAGGGCACACTGGCAAAAATTCAACAACTATAAAAAAGAGACACATTCTGCTCACTTAACAAAGCCAGTCTGTGGGCTGGATTTGGTGCATGGCTACCAGTTTGCACCTTTGCTTCAATGTGCAGTGGTTAAGAACAAGTTAGAGAAATCAACTTTGATTCTAACACACTGGAAACACTTGTCCAAGTTATAAAACCTGTCTGAATCATAGTTTCCTCATCAATAACTCACTAGGTTTTTTAAACGAAGTTAGATATATGCTCAAAAAAGTTAGTTCATTATTATTTTTACTTGACGAGAGGTACAGATTTAAAAGGTAACAGAAGGGAAGGAGCAATTCAAACCTCTCTTCTACCTGGCTCCTATTCTCACTGTTTTCTTGCCAGCAATGTTCCTCTTCCCTTGTTTCTTCAAAGTCTATGTCACACCAAGTCTGTACCTTTCCTTTCTCCTTCCGGCCAAAGCACTCACTACTTTCCTTTGCACTTTCAGGGTGGCAGGGAAGCTAATGCCTATTCTACTGCTAAACCACAGGACATAATAAAAAAAAAATCCCGTTACCTCTGAATCTAGTTGTTTTTATCCTGCTAAAATTCTGAACGGAGTCCTGCTGTGGGATCAGCACTGGACTACTAACCATAAGGTTAGTGGCTCAAACCCACCAGCTGCTCCTTGGAAACTCTATACAGGAGTTGGAACCGACTCCACAGCACTTAACAACAACAACAAAATTCTGAACATGGAATGCTTTGTGAATTCCCCATGACCATCTGAAGAACCTATCAGCATTTTCATTGAACAAAGGTTTCATCTATCTTTCTTTTCCCCTCGGTCAGTTAATGTTTGTTCAATGGATGACAAATAACCAAACAAGTGATCAAGATGTCAAAACCTACTAACAAAAAATCAATTTTAAATAGATTTGAGAATATAAGTTTGGAATATCCATTCCAACATTCTACTTCTTTATAAGGAAATTTAAGTTTACAGCAAGCCGATTTCGTGTTTTGCCTTACATGCTTTGTAGTACAGAGGTCCAAAAACCTTTCACCAAAAAAAAGTATGCCTGACTTCCTCATAAAGAGAAGTTACATGGACTTCAACTCAAATGGACAAACAGCATTCTTTTTCTTGATAGCAATCTGGAACTTTGATACCAGGAATATCTAGGAATCAAAGCAATGTTAGTCAGCTTTTTGTATACAATATGAGGAAAGCCCCAGGTTCAGAATACCTCAGCACCACTGAGGAGGCCACCCAACCAGGTTAAAAACTCTGTGCTGAATATCAGGTTCATTTCTCTATTAACCGTTTTGTGTCTTTTTTTTTTTTTTTTTTTTTTTTTTTAAGAGTTAGTCTTCCTAAATAACACCTACAGCTCTGAAATTAACCAGGGAAGCGGCTTCCCTTTACAACTGTCATTACTTCCTAGCAGTCATCCTGAGAGCTGACGAAAAAAAAAGAGTTTCTTACCTCTGAGAAATTAACAGCCAAGGGAATGATTCCAGCCACGTAACATCCCACCAACATAGCGAGAGACAGCATACTAATAGAGAGGAAATCATCCATTCTGCCCTGCTTAATTCACCCACCACCACCGAAGACTTCAAAAGGTGCTTTAAACACGTGTGGTGATTCCAAGAGAACAGATGGGCTCTGCAGTTCTTTCGGTCTCCCCACCAGATCTGTTCACGAGGCACCTCTGGAAACAACTCCTTTTTGCTGATATTAGCACCAGAGAGAACTTTCAACAATCTGAGGCCCCAGCTCCTGTGTCCCCAGTTACCAGTCACTGGATTTTCATGGGTTAACAGAGATGGAAGAAGTCAATGGGGAGAATATGCGAACCAGCCTTTCCTTCAATCGTCGGAATGGGGGGGGGGGGGAATATGCGAACCAGCCTTTCCTTCAATCGTCGGAATGAGGGTGGCACAATGGGCCCATTCCCCCACAGACAACGTCCTAAGTGGCAGCCGGATGAGGAGGAAAAGTCAAGCGAACCTGTTAGTTCTCCCGGCGTCCCTGTCCCCCTGGGGCCGCCCGACGGTGATATCCTCCAGGACTGGGACCTGCCCACTAGTCCAGACAAACTCTCCTCCAAGTCTTGGATGGGGAAAGGAGTCCTGCAGGTCTCTAACGACGGGTCCTAGGGTTCAGCAGCAAAGCCAATACAAAGCTGTCTCTGCCCTATAACCGCTGCTGCCCAAGGTACTCCACTCTTCCGAGTCTTGACCCGGAGACACAGATACTACAGCTGCCATGGCCGCCAAGTGGCAACGCTTCATTACATCCACTTCCGGATTCCCTCACCGCCCACTTCTCTAGAAAGAAACTTCCGGGTTACAACCGATCTATGGCCCAGTATACTTAGGCGGCCGCCATGTTTTAGTAGGGCCAGTGAAAAAGAACCTGTGTCACCGTCTAAGCTGGTGATCACCCCAGCCTAATGTCTAACCAGGAGCGTATGGAAGACACCGTCTTCGAAAAAAATGACCCTTTCTCAAGCTCCGAAACAGCCCATGATGTACTGAATTGCCCTCTTCCAAGATGGCTGAAACAGAGTCAGTAGCTGCTCTAGCTGCCGGAAATGCATGCGTGTCTATGGTTCAAAAGACGAGTTCCGGCGGCACCTCTCGCGGGGATTGGCTGTTGGCGGCGTTGCGGCTGAGCTCGTGTGCGGTGGTGGTATCGGCAGCGGCTGCAGCGAAAGAGTTTGGCACGATGGTGAGAAAGGGCACTCGGAGCCCCCCAAGCTCCCCGGCGACCCCAACGCCGTACATCTTCTTGCCCTTCTATCTCCCCAACCCTGCGCAAGCGTGTGGCTACTACCCGCCCCTCCATCGCATGGGATGCCCCTGCTGCTTCCCGCCACGGAAACGCCGGGCCTGGCTTTAGGCCCCTGGTCTTGGGGTCCGCCCGAGGGTTGCGCGCCCAACCACTGGCTGGAGCGAGGCGCGCTGTGGGCCTAAGGATGTACTTTCTGCCGATCCCAATTTGGAGGGAGGCGTGGGGATGGTGCGCTTTTCTTCCGGACGTTGTGGCCTGAAGTAGGAACAATGGCAGAGGGATGTTCCGAAGCTGACAGATTCAACCTCCTGCACTCAGCATGGGGAGCCAGGAGGGGTCGCGTTTGCTTTGTAATGGGTTTTTCGCAACTGTGATCTTTTCTGTCCTTTTCCTTTTTTCACCTAGTTTCCCATTAGTTTTAAGGAGCTCTGGTAGCATAGCGTTTACGAGTCGGGCTGTTAACCTCAAGGTCAGCAGTTCGAAACTACCAGCTGTTCCGCGTGGGAACAATGAGGCTTTCTGCTCCGGTAAAGATGTACAGCTTCAGAATCTCTGTACAGGGTCGCTGTAGGTCAGAACCGACTCTACGGCACATCACCACCACCACCCTAGACCTCCTACTCGCTGTCTCTTAACCCTGTCCTGTTACCCTTACATACACTGTTGAGGCTGAAGTCTGAAAAGGTAGACCCAGCGGAGCCCCCAAACTATTCCGGCTAGGGTGGTAGAGGAGTGGGTGAATTTTTTTTTTTTTAAATCAGTAAATGAGGGGGGCCTACAGGGATTGTGAGAAATCAGGATCATTTCTACACTTCAGTTTTGTTTCCTGGTTGCTAGTTTTGTAACTACCAGTGCAGTATTAGTAGAGAACTAGGCATGGTTTGCGTTTTTGAATTGCGATCCCCTCCCCCGCCTCCATGTTTGACTTAACTAACCTAAAACAAACCAAACCTGTTGACGAGTTGATTCCGACTCTGAGCGACCCTATATGATAAGAATAGAACTGCTCCATGGGGTTTCCAAGGCTATTCTAAAGACTGCCATCTCTTTCCATTGGTAACAGCACTTCAGCCACTGTACTTCCAGGGTTCCTTTGACTCAGCCTAGTGGCCCCAAACGGACTAGGAATCAGAAAGCTGCTTCCAGCCCCCGTTTTGCCATCAATAACAGTGACTTTGGAGATGTTATTTTACCCCTATAAATTTCCTTCCTTCTTTCTTTGCCTTTATGTCACCTCTTTGGGATTGTGTTAAAACGCAGAGATTAAAGTCCAAAGGTTACAGCAATTAAAATCAACTAAGTTTTGGATAAACTTCAATGATAATTATCTATTTGCTTAGAATTAAAAATGAGAGTTTGTAATGGAAGTGAATATTGGTTTAATCTCGTTAGGTACTTGGAGGTACATACTTCATTGTTTGTGTTTTTGTAGTTTGGGGGAAATAATTGGATACCCATCAAGGATTGTAATAGTGTAATAATGCCTGTTCTCAGGATTCATGTTTGTGGAACTTTTAAAAAAGTAAGCAAAACCAGATTATCAGAGTGAATTACAGCTGCTTAGTAATCTCTTAGAATTAAACGATTTTAATAAGGTATTATGCATAACTTTCTCATGATTTGGGTTTTCACAACCATTTTTTTCCTATTGTAGAGGGAAAGCTAGATTTGGTGGGGGGCATTTACTGATCATTCCTCATGAAAGAAAGCCATAAGGAATGCAAGAACCAAATCTACCCAGAAGGAAAACCAAAAAATTGATAGGACAAATATATTTATTTAAACAACCAAAACAAAACAAAAAACACCCCACTGCCATCAAATCAATTCCAACTCATAGGGACCCTATGTCAGGTTTGGAGGCTGGCTATACGTTTTTATGGAAGCTGAAAGCCTCATCTTTTTCCCTTAGAGTGGCTTATGGGTTTAAACTCCCAACCTTGCAGTTAGCAAGTTAGCCACCAGGCTCCTTCAAAAGACAGCTTAAATAAAAAGTGACCAAAACCTGTTTGGGTGGTAATCTTTAAAAATTGCTAACAGAAAAGCACTAATTTAGTCACAGTGTAGTCTTGTTAAGTAGCATCGAGTCACTTCCAGCCTAGAGCTCCTATAAAGGTTTTCAGGAGAGCAGCTAGTGGGTTTGAACTGCCAACTTTGTAGTTTAAGTAGAAGTTTATTTTTAAGACTAGATTCAGAAAGTAGCATACTGCATAGCAATTTCCTGATGTTACCCTTTCAACTAAATTTATCCTTTAATTTGTGTTAGTGTAAGAAATTAATACAGCAGCTGTATAGTTGATGTACTTTTGTTGTTGTTGTTAAGTGCCATCGAGTCGGTTCCGACCCATAGCGACCCTGTACAGGGTTTCCGAGGGTGTAAATCTTTACGGGAGTAGAAAGCCTCA